CTTAGAGGAATAAGATAAAATTAATGGCAGTGCTAATAAAATTAACACTAATTTTTCAAAAAAAAAAATTCATAAGTCAAAAAGAAATGCTTGAGTGATTTCTGGGTCAGATCTAAAGAAAAGCTTTCAAGGTCTCTTTTGGGTCATTATAAAGAAAATGTGTAGTAAGTATGATTCTAAGATGAATACTTAGAATCAAAACATCCTGAAGGCAATTTTAAATCCCTTGTATTGGGATGAATCACAGTTACATTTCAATCACGTGAACAAAAACTCCCTAGTTTACTAACAGAATTAAAAATACTTTCAAAAGCCCTGTTTTCCTTTTTCTTGTATCTCACATATTGAGAAGTTTGCAATATTCTTGCTCTTCTGAATTCCTCCTTTCATTCCTTCCTCCTTTATTCTGAATGCCGAATACATGTGTTAAAATAGCAACGATTTTTAAATAGAAAACGGGAAGCATCATCTCTTGTCCGAAAAGATCCCAGAACACCCGAATACCAAGGGTAGGTTCTGACACACCTGTCACCCTGCCTAGCCTCGCAGCTCAAAGGCAATGGCAGATGCTCCAGGAGCAGCGAGCTCCGTGGTCCCCAGCGTGTGTGTCCGACACAGGGGATCACACAGAGCTGATTTGGGTTCACACAAATCTCCGAAGGTTTTGTTCAAGCTACAGATCAATTCTAGTGGTATCCTAAATTCCAGTGATTACGGAATTACTCATGTGGTGTGAATATCAGAAATGCTCGTCACCTTCAGATGCGCTTAAGTGTCTGGAGACGCAAGCTGGGTTTACTCATTCTGTTTGCACAGCAAGGGTCTCTGCAGCCAGTAGAGAACCCTGGAACCAATGGCCATTTCTGATGCCCTGTTACAGTTGTGAAGCCTATTAGTAGCCCGTGCTGCATGTGTATTTGTGAGAACTATTAGCTATGTAGAAAATTATACTTGGCTTAAAATGTGCCACACTGTAGCAGTCTGATTTTTGTGTCACTTATGTCAAATGTAATATGTGCTTATCAGCATGTAAGTGCCTCGGGGACTTTGCAGAAAGAGTCAATGTCAGCACAAGGCAGCTATGATATGATGGGTATGTCACAGATGTGGAACTTAGAGCTGGGAGAGCTAGGTTCAAGTTCTAGCCCTTCCACGGACAGCTTTTGTGGGTTTGGCCATGGCACTTAACCCCTCTGAGCCTTGGGGCCCCTTGTGTGAAAATAGGCGTATTCATTACCTCCTATTTCACTGGGGTGTTGTGAATTTTGTTTATTAATTATTCATACTCTAGCTCATTCCACTCAAAAGATTTGAAATGACATGTGTGTATTTGAAGATAAAATATATTTGCTAGTGCTTTGGAGATTATACAAGTAAATCTTTGTAAAGTAAACTAGGAGCCAGTCCGGGTGGATTCCGGGGGAGGTCTGTCCCTCAGAATGGAAGTGCTTCTGAGCAGATGGTCCAGACTTCCTGGGACAAGTTCATATGGAACAAGTCTTTATCCATAGATGTCAGCTGACGTCAACCAGTTTTAGGTGCCCATTTAAAATAAACCTATAAGAAGACTACCCAACACCTTTTGAATGAAACCCATTTGCAACTAATGAAAATATCAGAATCTCCCATACTTAATGCCTATTCTCTGAAAGAACTGGATATAATGGCAAAAAGCTCTTAGACACGCGTGACTCTTTTCAGTGCATTTGTATTTTGTTACTCACAACAGTCACAAATCCTTGAGTAGGAGTAGACCTCACAGGTGTCGATGTCAGTCATTTTTTATCCAGCGGGACCACGCTAGTTTAGTGGCGTTTAGAATTAGCACCTGCCTCGCTGGCGTGCACAGAGGCCTGAAACGCCCGCGCCCTGGCAATGCTTTCAATTCCTTGTGTTACTGGGTGCCATGTGCTTTGATCTTGGGTTACTAACCAGGCCCATCTACCCTCCACATCCAAGGCCTTCACAGAGATTGGTGTGGCGTGGCCGAATAGCTTTCATCCGCTCACCCAGCTGCTCTTGTACTGTGACACTCGACACCCAGGAATTAACTGTGGGTGCCAAGCCCTTCTCAACAAGTCACCTGCTTTCTCAGTAGCTGGTTGCTGTTTATCGCAAGGCAGCTGGGATCCCTCTCCTTCTTCCCTTTGTCCAAGTGAAGCAGGACCTGGGGTAGAAGAGAGTGGCTGTTTTGCCACAACCCCCTAATTCCCAACCCCCCTTTTGACCTGGAGGGGAATCATCGGCGCCTTGGGAACTGGAGCAAGGTCAGACCCCTGTCTCCTCCTAGATTTTAAGGTCCTTTGAGTTTCCCCTCTAATATCTGTTTAGTAGACTTGGCAGATAGTAAAATTGTTCCTCTAATTCAGTTGATCTGACAAGTGTACCTACTTTCCCTTCTTTTCCACTGAAGTTGTCTAGGGAAATTAAGGTAGCTTTTTAAATTAAAAAAGTAAAAAGAAAAGAAAAGAAAACAGAAAATCTACTTCCCAAACAGTGAAACCGTACATCACAGTTCATGTTACACAGAAAATCTATGCAAATCGTGGAATCACAGCTTTTCCCTCCTTCATAGTAGGTGAAGCTGCATTTTCAGCTGCTGCAGGAGCAACATGGGCTTGATACAAGCTCTCCAATAAACGCGATATTCAGCAGTTCTGACTACAAATTAATGGTTAGCGTTGGAGGACCCGCATGCGGGGGAGAGAGCGCACACATGGGCGGTTAAAGTGCTTTGACTTCGAGTTAGGCCAGAGAGGCAGCTGTGGTCTGCTGGTCCCCACTCCTCAGCAGTGTGCCCTTCAACAGTGACGGAAGCTCTCCAGCACTTCATCTCCTCCCGTAGAAAACAGCAATTTTTCCAACCTACAGGGTTTCCCAGGGACAAAGGGAGGCAAACACATAAAGTGCCCAGTGAAATGTCAGGCGCATGGCAGACACCACACAGGTGATGGCGGTGGCCATGGTGTTGCTTCTTGTTCTTAACAAGCTGAGATAGAGAAAGAAAGGCAGGCTGACCTGGAAGGATGCTGTCAAGGACCTCTTCTGCTATGATGTGCTCAGAAAACCTTCCTCAGAAGGAAGATGCTCTTCGGGCTGGGGTGGCCTTGGTTCCATGTCATGAGCCCAAATCTGAGACCAACTTCTCTCTGCTGTTTTCAGCATCATAGGATGAGACAGAGCTACCTGCCCCAGTCGGGTTAGGTCACTGCACTGCATGTCACCGCCAGTCACCTCCCTTTTCATTAGCAGAACCTTTTCACTTCTTAATTTCATTCCTTAACACTATTCTTGCAAGGGATAGAGAATCACTCTCTCTCTCTCCTCCATGGAAAGAACTTCACATCCCATTTGGGGCCATCCTAAAGCTGAAAGCATTTGAGTTTAAAGCAGTGCAGTGAGTGGTTGAAAAGCTGCTTGTCGACCATCATGTTTATCTTCATCCCCCCTTTGCATTTCCATAAAAGCTTTCTTTCAAAGAAACAGAATTCATCTTTGATTAGTCATGTGCCATTCACTCTTTCGGATTTAATTGGCCCAGTGATTTCCTTTGCTTAAACGTAGCATTTATCAGTCACAACTGGCACTGCATGTTATGGCGTTAAGAGGCAATTCCTCAGGCTGTTCTTCGCCCTGAGGAAGGGGGCCGCCTCCTCCTTTCCTCTCAGGATGCCAGGATTTAGAGGTCAGTGTGTTTCCCCATCAACGGCTTTGGGGGTCGGGGGTGTCAGGCTGCAAGGGGCATGATGGGTGGCAGCTCCTGACTGGCTAGGTTTGCCCGATCCGCAATATGAGTGGGCACTTCGTGTGCTAAAAGCACGCCCAGCTTGGAGAGCGAGGCAGGCTGGGCCCCTTTTCCTGGTTCTGAACTGTATTTTTCCTCTTGGAGGAAATTATACTGAAGGCTTTGTTGGTGGTTCCCAGCAGGGTTAAGGCCCCATGAGGGCTGATCAGCTCTATGGCTAATCAAACCAAACCAAACCAAACCAAACCAAACCAAACCAAACCAAACCAAACCAAACTAAACCAAACCAAACAACACATCAGCCTTTACGCAGGGAGCTGAAGCTTTAAGTTGCCCGGCCTGGAAAGAGCCTGAAGAGGTGATTATGTTAAGGAAGTAATGGGTGTCGGGAACACGGGATCGAATTACTGGGGTCAGTAGCTTCCTGGCTTCCCCAGTGCATTAAACAAACACGCAACGTTGCCTCTGCGCCGGGTGTTTCTCGGTGCCGCGTCCTGTTGGCACTGCCTGGTCACATGCACGTCCCCTCTAATTGCACGGGATTATCTGTGCTGGGGCTTTAATAGATACTCATGATCCTGAGCTTCCTTTGAACTCGCAGCAGGGCGGTGCAAAGGCATTATTGTGAGTGCTTCTTTGCGTTTTGTGTTGTGTACAAAATTATTATTGTTCCCATCACTTAGAAAGGTATGGATAGCCATGTCTTGCTCTCGCACTTCCAAAAGGACTTTGGAAGCATTATTTGCTGTAAGGGAAGCTACTGGAGGGGAAAATCCCCTGCACCTGAGACACCCTGTGGGGGACCAGTGTCAGAAAGGCGTGGAAGCCGTGAACTGGTGTTAGGGCCATAGGGGACCACGGTTCTCCATATGTGGTCCCCTGGCCAGCAGTACCGGCAGCACTGGGAAGTAGTTGGAAATGCAGAGCCTACTGAGTCAGGCATTCGGAGATGGCTCGGTGGTCTGTGTTTTAACAAGCCTCCCAGGGGACGCGTGCTCTGTATGGAGCACGAGACTCGGACACAGACCCACCTGCTCTGGGGTGGAGCTGGGGACAAGACACCCGAAGTGTCTGCACCCACGGATGGTGTCGCATTACCGGGGAACCCTGGTGAAGCACTCATGTCCACCCGACAGCCTATGATTATCACACGTGCCATTTCATTTTTTTTGTTTGAACTCACTTGTTATCTTCTTTGGTTTTAGAAAATGACTTGCAAAAGATGGCTAATAAGCGATTCCATTGTGCGTTTCAGAACCGTCCCCCTTGCCATCTGCATATCCATGGCCATCGTCACCGTGGGCTACGTGCTGACCAACGTGGCTTACTTCACGACCATCAGCGCCGAGGAGCTCTTGCAGTCCGAGGCGGTGGCCGTAGTGAGTCCAAGTGGGGGGGCGCGCCGGCCTGGACGTAGGTTAAGGAGTTGTTGCCGTTTTATAGCAGCTCCTTCCAGCAGAAAGGGGTTTTGAAATTCAGTCATCTTTTCCTGACCTGAATGATAATGAGTATTCAAAATTTTAGAGCACACCTTAGCACGTTCCTCTGAACTGACACAGTGAAAGTCCCATATGGTTTCTCTGGGGTGTTAACTTCATGTAAAATATTTCCGTATGTACATGCATGGAAACACATGTCCACGCATGTACATCAAATAGAGGCGTTGTTCTTCCAACATGTCTTTAAGGACAGGTGGGCAGTCCCTGAATTGTTTTTAAAAAAACATTTCTGTTGTGCCGATTGCGTTCATGTTGTACTGTTTCCTGTTGGCAAACTTTTCAAACATTTTCCCCAAGTACACTTTAAGAAGGTCCTAATTGCCCATTAATGTTTGTTTCTTCTAGTGTATCCTTTTGAATACTAGTCCTGGGGTATTATTAATTTGGGGGAATACTGAGTTATTGAAGGCTAAATAGATATCATTGCCAAGTACATCTCAGAATAGTAAAGATGCTAATGTGCATTTTAACTTGCAAAGAGTAGATACTCAGAATTATACATTTTCCAGATTTATTAGAGGTCAGACCATCGATGCTCCAAAAGGGCATGTTAATGGGTTTGTTGTTCTGTGACCCAGACTTTTATTTTGTATAAAAATTTAGGTAGTCAGAGAGCCTTTATTCATGACCTCACAACAATCAAGGGGGAAAAATAACTTCCCATTATTAGATGTCAATTCCTTTAAAAATAGTCCCTACCAGCTCATATCAGCAACTTCCACAGGGAACTTCCCATGATCTCATTTCATGCGAACGTGTGAGGAGTGACTGTGTTTAATGCAAGACTCAGCCACTGCTGTACGTTCCGGCAGATGCCCTGACTGACGTGGGGGCGGGGTCGTCTCTTCATACCAGACGGAGGGTCGCTCTTGCTCTGTGAGTGTAATGTGGTCCTTTGAGGACATGGCCCCAGATGCATCAGGGCATGTAAAGAATCCCACTTTATTTTTATTTCGGAAAATACACCCTTTATGCTGTGGCATAAAGGAAATTGCTTGTTCATCTCTTGTATTTTCTCTGGCTTGACTTCGGACTTGGACTTGGACTTGCATTCTAGCCTTTTTATAGGAAACCACAGAAGAAATGGCTGGATAATTGAGATGAAGGGGCCGGTTTGATAAGCAGATTCAGCTGATATGCTTACTCTGAACGAAAGATTTTTAGAGCATCGCATAGATAGGATGTAAATAATTAAGTCATTTTTTCCCTGCCACTCTTGTATGTCATAATGGTGGGGTTTATATAAGAAACAAGATTCCAGCATGCTTCTCTGTGTACATTGGTGCTTTACTGTCAAAATGTGGCTTTCTTGGCTAGAGAGAAGGTGTATGCAAAGGGATTTCTGTCACCAAGAGCAGAATTTCTGAAGGAGCTTTTTCCATTTATCAGAATGATGGAAGATTTTGGCCGTAGCTGGTAAAGATACATTCAGTACATGCATCATCACTTTTTGAAAGTAGAGAACAGGTGCTTGTGTAGACCTTTGCCTGAGACTTTGCAACACACAATGCCCGGGACTGTTGTCCCGATTTTTATTATTGTCCACAGAGTTAGTCTGACACTAACCGAAGAGAAGGATTATAAAACATAGACGTATCACCAGGCTAATAGAAAGTCCTAGAGCAAGTCAGGTATAAGTTGTTCCATTTTATTCCACTTTCTGGGAAAGCATTAATTTGCGTTGTTCTGTCTTTCACTAGACCTTTGCTGAACGGCTACTGGGAAATTTCTCCTTAGCGGTTCCGGTCTTCGTCGCCCTCACCTGCTTTGGCTCCATGAATGGTGGTGTATTTGCTGTCTCCAGGTGAGTGAGTTCAAGCATTTCCAGAAATGTATTTCTGTTTCTGAGGCTGGATGGGATAAGGATAACTTTACAACGAAACAGAGCGTCCACATCTGTTGTTTTTAAAGGGACATGCCGGATGGAAGTCTTCATCCAAGTATCAACGCCATTTCTTATTCTGCCCAGTAGAGGGCACTGCTCCTCCACTTACAGCCAGCCTGAAGCTGGGCACGCTGCTTTTTTTTAATAGAATGTCTACAGAGTCTAGCAACAGCTCTTTTATTTCTGGTGATAAAATCTGTTGTTTCTCTAAAGGTGACAAGAGAAAAAGTAAAGTAAAAGACACCAGAAATCACCACCCCATCTGTATCCCTATTGCTTTCTTTGATGCAGAAGTCCCTTTTGTTTTAATAACATCAGATGAAAACCCAATCAGATAAATATGAATGTGAGATGTGTTGTCATCCTTAGAAACAGAACAGCCAGATGTTTACCGGGGGAATGAGCTTATTCGGGAGGAGCAGAGGAGCTGCAGTTCTGAACAGCAAACTGTAGCAAAACCATAGGCAAGTGCAGAGAACAAAGGAGAGGGGCTTGCTTTTATAGAGGAAAGGAGGGAGCAGGGAGGAGCGGTTTTGATCGGAAGGCAAGGCCCTTGGAAGAGCGGGAGGCAGTGCAGGGATGTTGTGGCTTCTCACCAGCTGGGTTATTGCCGGGCGAGGAGGAAAATGGCTTTTCTCCTGCTGAGGTGGTCAAAAAGCATCTTCCTGTCAAGCTCTGCTTTCAGAGCTTCCCACCTCCATTTTAAATGAGGTTTCCTTTATTCGTGTGTGTGTGTGTGTGTGTGTGTGTGTGTGTTGGGTTGAATTGGGTAGACAGCACACCTACAATACCGGGAACCTAGAACGAAATTCGTCATCAGCTGTTTACATGTGGCGAGAGCGATGCTGAGTCAGGTGCTGCTTTGTTTCTTCTCAAGGAAGAATATATGATACGTTGGCAGATTGTTATTCAATTGTAAGTCAGGTTTCTCACGATGTTCTCCATCTTATCTGAAAAGTGAAATCGGAGTAATCACCTAAAAAACGTTCAGAGCATTTGGTATGAAAAGAGATGCATGTTTTCTCTGAGCTTTCTGGGATCTTTCCCTCTGCAACCGTTGATCAGCTCTACAGTCAACTCCACCCCCATTTCTCTCCCATCAGGTTATTCTATGTTGCGTCTCGAGAGGGTCACCTTCCGGAAATCCTCTCCATGATTCATGTCCGCAAGCACACTCCTCTGCCAGCTGTTATTGTTTTGGTAATGCATATTAACAACTTTCTCTAGATAGAACCTCAGATCACAGGTTAGCAAAGAGGATGTTGCACCAGACTTTAGAGAGTGCTTTCCTTTCTCATGCATTGCAAGATCGGCCCTATGCACATCTGGGAGGGGGTTGGGGGGCAGGGTGTCTCCACTGCTTCCCTTGACTCAGTATTCCTGATGCAGGTTTGATGCAATGCGGCAATAACTGCATCACTTTTTTTTCATGTGTAGAAATTTCTGAGGTCTGGGGGAAATAAGTTAGCTTGATTCCTGTTATTAATACAGGACCTCGCAGAAAAGGGTGCAGAGTAGTAAGTCCCAATTCCAAGTACTGAGAGTGGAGCTAAAAACCACAGTCCAGAATGATGCAGATGTCTCCTCTTAGGCTCCTTATAATGAAATGCACACAAAATTATAGGGGGGGGGAAAGCATGAAATCCTAGACAGTGCAGTGATGTCATGGTTAAAAGTGAGACATTTGAGAGCAAGGGGAGAACTAAAAGCACCAACCCTTAAGTCTGAGCTGTAGGATTCTTTATGCAGAGAAGAGTGTGAAACGTGGGATAAGGAAGACTGTGTAAGGGTAAAAGTCTTCCAATACCCACAGGCCACGCGAGAGTCACTTTTACCTACCATTTTGTAACATTTTTCTCAAATGGAATCCGCAGTCAGGAGCACCACAGATAGACTGCATTGAGATACCCCTCCCCCGGCCCATGCATTTAATTAGTTTCAAAACATTTCCTTGAAATTTCTTTGTAAAGTACACAGTGCTCTCCGGGAGGCATCTGGAAGGTAATGGTCACTTGTGGGAACAGAGTGTACTATTCTGTGAAGAGGGCTTTTGTTTTGAGCTGCGGCTATCGGCTATCAGTCAGGCTGTCCTTGGTATGCGCAGCTGTGGAGACTGGCTGGGCTGGTCTTCCCTGCGGTGTGGAGGGTCACTCGTGGCGAGTACAGGGGGAGCCGGAGCCGGGAGGAAGGAAAGGTGACCGCTTTGCCTTCTGGGCACGACAGCGCCCCCTAGCAGTGGCTGTGCCTCATCCGTGCACCGCCAGGAGCCCCGCAAACCTCCCTGGCAGGGCTTTCTGCAGTTTCCAATAGGGTGCGCTTTTGATTTTTGTAATTTGTTATTTATCAGTCACCTCGGTCTCTCTGGGTCTTCCCATTTTGAGCCATTGAGAACGACTTTGAAAACTCAGCCTCTCCCGTCAGATGGAAAAGCAACTAAAAACCAAAAGTCCCTATGAAATTCCTTCTGAATACCGGGTCGTGAGGATGGCCTTCGCATGTTGTTACTGGTGTACAGAGAGAGACGTTCAGGCAGAACCCGGGCAGGAGGGTAGCATCTGCCCGCCGTGGCACTTTGCCAGTGTAAACGATCATTGGAAAAGATGGCAGGATGGCCTGTTACTACTGCCGGCCTCGCCCGTGTTCCCTCTGACTCACCCAGCTCGGTTTCTGTCCCCTCCCCAGTACCCTCTGACAGTCGTGATGCTCTTCTCCGCCGACCTATACAGCCTCCTGAACTTCCTCAGCTTTGCCAGATGGCTTTTCATTGGGCTGGCGGTGGCCGGGCTGATTTATCTCCGCTACAAACGCCCGGATATGCATCGTCCTTTCAAGGTAAGCTCGGCCACCCGGATGGGCTCACGTGGGTCTTTCTCCCGATGCCTAGTCCTCCCCCGCTCCTTGGGGATGGAGCACTGGGGTGGGGGCCCCATCCTGTCCCGGAAAGTGGTTAACGCTGGCCGGTAGTGCCCTCAGAGTGGATTGAGTTCAGCTTGACAAAGAGGTCATCACTTTTTTTTTAAAATGTAATGTACCGAACTTGGTCATACTTTTGAAAAGAGGTGGTATTAAGAGGTTTGTTGTGCTGCTGTTTCACGGTGTGTCCAATGACCTGATGAATTCAAAGTACGGGAGACTTTGATCTGTCTTTACGCTGAATATTTGCAGACAGCCAGCCAGAGAGAGTGAGGCAGGTACATATACATCGTATTACTTATTAAAACTCAAAAAAGGATGCTTCCTTACCAAATAGGCTTTTTAAGTATTTTTAAGGGTTATGATTCCTTACATTGCTCTTTTTCTACATTATACACTATGGAAGGAATAAATATGTAAACTATAAAGGGAAAGTGAAGATGTGTGAACCTAACACTTAATCGAAGCACATTAACCATAACTAAGCATCCTTTAGAGAGGGCTGAAGAACATGCTACTCACCCCCTGCGGCCTTGAACCTGCACAGATTGATTTGTCCTCACTGTTTATAACAGATAAGGTTGTCAGTCGCATTGTTAGAATTTGTTGCTAATTATATTCACTGCCTAATCCTAGCAACATCTTCATTGGCGGTTGAGTAGGAGCTGGCCTGTTTTGTTCTTGCCGTTTCTGACTGTGCGTCTCCAACAGAAAATCAATGTTCCCTGAACGGATTTAACACGTAACTAGCAGCCCATGGTCTTGGCCCCATATTAAAATGGATTCTAATCATAATTACCAAAAAGCCCATCTTTTCATATTTAAACCAGAGATTAGAGTGATACTTAGCTGGGAAAAAAACTCAAACACAACTCCTGTAATGACACGTATTCATTTATCCTTAGATTTTATTCTATCCTAAGGTTTAAAAAAAAAATTAAGCGAGTATGTTTAATACATTCACTGTGCCCCTTTAAAGAGATGCGGCTACTAAGGTGAGGGAGAATGGTGCCCGTCACCTGGTCATGTGACCAGCGTGTGACCCAGGTACGTGGCTGACGTTCTCATCACGGGGCGCCGTGCAGCGCCGTGCGTCTCCTGCGTCTGCCGGAAGTGACTTGCTCCTGTGCTGCGTTGCAGGTGCCGCTGTTTGTCCCAGCGTTGTTCTCCTTCACGTGTTTCTTCATGGTCGCCCTTTCGCTTTACTCGGACCCGTTCAGCACGGGGATTGGCTTCGTCATCACGCTGACGGGGGTGCCTGCGTACTATCTTTTCATCATATGGGACAAGAAGCCCAGGTGGTTTAGAAGAATGTCCGGTAAGCCTTTTAAGCAGTTTCAGAACGTTTTCAGAGACCGCGTTGTAGAAAACCCACCTATGTGTACATGCATGATGCACACGCCTTAACGTTAAAAAGCGTTCATGGGACAGGTGCTAGCTTGAACACGTCATTGTGTTTCACCCAGGATCTGGAAGAAGGAAAAGCAAGAAGCATGTTAGGGAGCAGCCGCAGTCCTTTCAGCATCGTGTTTAGTTGGGCGGCTTAGTCCCTTCTTGTAGCTTTTGTAGGGAGAAGTTTACCAGCAGTTCTGAAAATGGCCTAGTTGCTGTCCTGAGTCCTTTAGTAGACTACTTATTTTATTCTGGGTTGAATGCAGCTTAGTGATTCTATATCATAACAGGCTCCTACATGAGAGCTTCAGATTTGGTGGGAGGTTAGGCAGCGGCCTACAATCCCTGATGATAGCACCACCCTACCTCATAGGCGTGGCAAGGCTCGCCAGGGCCAAAGACCAGCCAGAAAAGGAAGAGAAGAATCCCAGCTCCCATGTATTGTGTGATTCCATATATTAGCACAAATATGACCCGAATCTTTAAAAACCTTCTGAGGTGGGAAAATTATTATTACTGTTTTATGGACTTTGAGTTATAGCGTGGTGGAATTCACATAACTTGTTGCAAGTCATGTAGATATTAGGTAGAAGAGCTAGAATTCACGCTCAGGCAGGTTTGTGTTTTAGAAACGTCATCTGGGGGACAGAGAGGATGGCTTTGAGGGACTCGAGGGTGAAGGCAGAGCACAGGGGTTGTCGGTTGTCACCACAGTAATCCCTATGAGAGTGGGAAGGGTCCAAAACAGGCCACTGCAGCAGGGTCCAAGGGCAGGGGGAAGATGCTGAAGAGGAAAGACCCTCAGAGCTTGGTCAGCAGGTAAGTTGGAGGAGGAGAGACTAGTAGGTCAATAGTAGGAACGGTGCTTAGGTACAGCCTCTGTGGAAAGCCCAACCTTCTGTCCCGGGCTCTGCTAAGGGACAGCTTTTCCTTAGGTCATCGTCCCTTCCGGTCCTCCATGAGATCCGTGGGTGAGGCAGGATTATTCCTGCACCCAGGCGGGGAAACCAGGCCTCGGGGAGGGGCGGTTTCATTCCCGAGTCTACAGGAGTCAAACCTTTGAGCTAGGATTTGAGTCTGCATCTGCTGGACTGCAAACCCCATGATTTTTCTAGATTGGGTGCCTGGGGGAGGAGAGACAGGGGTGAAAAGTACAGCCAGGGAAGCAGATACGTTCTTGTTGGTGAGTTGAGAAAAGAACTTTTGTTCTCATTTGTTTCAGTTTCTTACTTTACCGTAATTAATTTTTAAAAGTTCAGCAAAACGTTCAGAGAGATTTCTGGTAAAATTGTTACTAAAAATAAAATTAAATAAACCCCAACTTGGTGCATCTATTGAATCTCCAATGTGCCCTGTGAACTCATTTAGAAACCAGGACATGAAATTAGAGTTTTGCTACAATTTCTCCTTATTAGCTTTTAATTGGTGTTTGGTAGCTTTAGACCTCGTTTGTCCTGTTTATATTGAACTTTGTTTCCTAGTTGGCAACGGGATTCCCTGAAGAAGCGTTCCTATACAAGTTAGGTCCTTTAAGGCTAACACAGGCACACCTAGCAGAGTATTTAATCTCTATTTCTTGTTGGATCACATTAGTTTTCTGTAGAGTATTTGTAGTTATGTTTTCTCAGTGGTAGGCAACACAATTCTGAAGGAAAAAAGTAATTCTTGTTCAAGAGCATGAGGGTTGCTCTCCTCATTACCAGTGTCCGGGACAGATTAATGCTCATCACTGAGAGACTGGGGTCTGTCTCAGGTCCTGGTGGAGACGGTGAGACCCTGGAGTACCACGGAAAACCAAGGGCCCCTAGCATGAAGGAGCCAGCAACCCTGGAGTCGGAGACAATTGCTTGTTTGCTCCCACTTAGTAGGCGTTTTGTTCCTCCCGCTTGTAGTCAGCCTGCTGTGAGACTTCTTTCCTTTTGCTAACATGTATGCATTTTGTACCGTTCTTTTGGTCAGTGCATGCCTGCTACTGTGTTCTGTGCTTGGTCTTTCTGTGATGTGTTTCCCCGCTATTGTACTTCCAACGTTTGGGGTTATTTTTCTGTCTCTAATGATGTTCTGAACATCTCCAAGGACTCCAGATTTAGTGGTGGCCGTTTGTGAGAGTAACGGCAATGCAGCAGTCCCACAGTGGTGATTCGGTTCTCAGAAATGCCACTGAGCCTCACCAGGACTGCGTGGCAGTCCTGCCTCGAATCTGCACTCATTGCCACCCTTTGTCTTTATAGCTGCCTTGGAAGTCCTTCCTCGATTTTGTTTGATTTTCCTCTTGGGCAGCGTTCTTGTAATAAAACAAAAAAAAATTCCACAGTATTTATTGCTGCAATAGCAAGTATTTCCCTAGCCTTTGGCCAAAACAAAACGCTCACACACAGGCCGACAGAGCAGCAGAGTCCTGAACCGGAAGGCCTCGCTCCCCGCAAACACCTCCTTGTTGCTAGAGACAAACCCTGCGTGAACTTCAAGACCAGAGAGCCTCTGCTTGGAGTAGTTCATTCAGTAATTTAATATCAGATTGTCTTGCTGGGTAACATTCTTTAGCCTGAGTATTAGCCTTTATTCTCACCTTGATACACACGAACCCATTAGCCGGGTGAAAGGATGGTTTATCAGAACGCATGCCCCTGAGGGCGCGTCCATAAAACACTCAAGGTCACTGCACAGCTGTCAGGAAATGGCGAGAGGCCGCTCAGCCCAGACAGCCAGGGAGTGTTGTGAACCCGAGATGTGAGGCTGTCAGGGAGCGGGTGCACTTCTCCGGCCACAGGATGCCAGTATTGAACCACGTTATGCCCCATCGCGTTCCTAGGGCGGAAAGAGAATGGGCTCTGGGGGGAACAGTTAGGCACCCAGGAAGCTTTTCCCTGCCGTCTGTGACAGAGCGCTTCCTTTGTCGGGCTGTTTATCTGTGTGTATTTATAGGCACATGGGCTTCTCACCCGGGGAGAGCAGGGCAGGCATCCTGCCGACACGCTCAGACACCTGGGGGTACCGAGGCCGGCAGACCCGGCCAGGCTGCGGGCAGCCGCTTTCCGTGCCTGCTGGGATCTCTGAGCCCGACCCCGTCCCGCGGAGAGGGAGCGGCATGGCTGGAAGTTGGTGCCTCTTGCTCAGGGCGAGACTGGGAGGACAGCTGCAGGTGAACACAGTCTTTGGTGATAAAGACTCGTACTGTGCAGCCCCACAGAATGTACCCGTCTGCGTGGATGGTGACAAGTGCAGAGCCCCAAAGTCCCAGGCTGCTGGGACTCACTGATGACACCTCCCAGCGAGTGGCTCCGTGCTTCCCGAGGACCGGGGACCGCGGTGCTGCACGTGTGGCCCGTGCAGCTTGAATACATTCCCCTGGGGCCCAGATGAGACCATCCAGAGGAAAAGGGGCTCGGGCCTTTTTGGGAAGGAAGTACATACTATTTTTCTTGTCCCGACGTCTGGAGAAGATTTTGCGCTAATATTTCACGACTTCTGGCTGTATAGGTCCTGGGCTTGTACCAGGCGTGGCTGGTGAATCCGATTCCGTCAGGTCCGCTGTCGTTTCCACTGGTTGCAGGACACCTGCTGACCAGGAGCAGTGAGACTGAAACCGGGACCTTTGCTGTTTGGCCTTGTAGCTTGTCGTGACCGCAGACACCCAAAGCAGACACACTGGCTCCACCTCATTTAAAGAAATAGTATCACGGGGTTGTTTATCCCGTGAAGCCAAAGGACTTGTATAAGTGTGGATGTCGCTGAATGCCACCCCTGGGCTTCCCTGGGCGAGCAGGCAGCTTCCTTGGAGGCTTCCCTGAGCCTGTGGAGTGGCTCTCTGAGCCTCTCTCTGAGCACAAGGCTGTAGATGACCGAGAACAGAGGTGGCAAACTCAAGGCCCGTGGGCCAAATCCAGCCCCCCACCTTGTTTTATCCAGCCTGACACCTTGTTTCTACCTGGCGGCAGCGCCAAGCTCTCACTTAACTGTCAAGGAGCAGGTACATTTTTACAGCCCTAAAATTACATTTGGCCCTTTGAAGGCAACCGCGAGGCTGATGTGTCCCTCGGTGAAGTGAGTTGGACACCCCTGACTAGAAGAAAATGTTGGTGTGGAAAGGACAGCGACTCAGAGCCAAAACCAGTCACTCCGCCCCAACCTCCTTCCGATGATGGACATTTCTCCAAATCCTGAGGTTCCGAGAGAGCGTAAGGAAGTCACAGGAGACACAGGACTGAATGGGCGTGGAAGAGGAGAAAGGACTGGGAGTACGGAACCCGAAAGGAGATTCTTCAGCCCCAGATGTGCAACTGAATGGAAGCCCCAGAGTGAGTGAACATTCAGGAAGGAAACGTCACACTTGTAGGAAACCAGCAGGGTCTGTAGGTTGCTATCTCTTTGTCAGGACCAGATGTAGCGCTGTGGCCTGGGCAGGCGAGATGTCTAAGAAAACAAAAGACTGGTGGTCTCAGAATGCAGACACGCACTTGGAGAGGCTTCTGTGTGGAACAGGAAGAAGCAGATGCTGCGTATGAAAGTCAGTTATTAAAGAAAAGGAAAATCGCCGTAGATAAATCCGTGAATAGACACACACGCGCGTGCATGGGGCAGGCGTGGAGATAGTTCAGGGAGCTCCAGCAGACTTCTCCAGGGAGGAAGGAAGGGCTGGGAAGGGTGTCAGTTTAACTGAACTGCTTTGCACTTGACCATGGCAGATGCTAAGGCCTCTGGTTTCACCCTTTCTGATGGCTGTACCTCCTTCTGTGCCTATAAAGCCACATCTTCCTACTGTTGATCGGCACTTTTCTGCAGTTTGCTTTTCTAGGATGATTTTACCATTTCCCTTTCCCGTAATGGGTCCATATGCTCTTGAGTGTTCCCTTGTGCTTCAGGTGCATTTCAGTGTAGAATGGGCTGCGGCAGAGTACAGTCTACGTAAGAAACATTTACAGAGTCTCCCTTTTGCCAGAACGGTGCCCTGTGTAAGTGAGGGATATTATAAAATGAGGTGCTGAGGAAAATGACTTTGGGGGAAAACAACTGTTACAAAGTGAAGGATGAAAAAAACAAACGTTTTTAGTGGTATTAAATATTACTTGGAAGGGACTTGTTCCAGGTAAGACGTCGTAAGCGAGGAGGAAGACTGTGCGTCTGGATGAAAGATGATGTGGGACTCTCAGAGGAAGACTCTAGACGCTAGACGGGGCCGCAAGCAGTTTGAAGAGTTTCTGCGGGGACTGATGACTAAGATAAGAGGTGGACAAGAGCTACTGTCCCGGGAAACTGGAGTCACAAGTTCTAGGACTGCCGAGATAAAATGACCTTGCCCAGGGGCTCCTACAGTTAGGTCTCTATCAGAGAAACAGATTTCTGGACCCTACGTTCAGTTTCCGGTTCAGTATGTCCGGGATGGGGCTCAAGATGCCTTTCTAACATGTCAGCTTCTCTGCGGAGTATACTTTAAGAACCAATGGACCTGGACCGAGTCTCTCATTCTTCTCTTTTAAGTTAATTTATTTTCATTGAGACGTAATCAACATGTAGCATTGTGTGAGTTAAAGGGTGCAGTATGTTGGTTTGATACAGTACATTTGTGTATCGCAGTGTGATTACTGCAGTAGCTTTAGCTAATGCCTCTATCATGTCATGTAGTTGTCACTTCCTTTTTATGTTGGGAACAGCTAAGATTCGGTCTCTGAGCAACTTTTATAATACAGTGTGTCAACTATAGTCACTATGCTGTACATGAGATATCCAGAAGTCACTTAGTAGTTGTCAGTTTGCACCCTTAAACGGCATCCCCCAGGCCCCCCTCCGCGGCCCCTCATCCTCAACATTCTACTCTGTACAAGTTCAGGTCTTTAGATTCCACGTAGAAGTTACTGCGTACAGTATTTGTCTTTCTCTGCCCGACTTACCTGTATTAGCACAATGTCTTCATGGTCCACCCAGATTGTCGCAAATGGCAGGGCTTCCTTCTCTCTCATGGTTAAATAATATTCCATTGTGTGCATATGTGTGTATCACATCTTCTTTATCAGTTCACTTGTTGATGAACACTTGGGCTATTTCCAAATCTTGGCTATTGTGAATAATGCTTCAGTGAACATGAGTGTGCAGCTGTCTCTTCGAGATACTGGTTTCAGTTTCTTCGCATGAGTAGGATTGCTGGGTCATACGGTAGTTCTATTTTTAGTATTTCAAGGACCCCCCTACTGGTTTCCACAATGGCTGGTCCAGTTTACATTGCCACCAACAGTATATACTTGTAAGGGTTCCCTTTCCTTCACATCCTTGCCATCATTGCCATCTCTTGTCATTTTTTTAAGAATATGCGTTTCTTTTTATTGCCTCTCTTATGTGAGTGTCTGATTTGAATGTTCCAGGCCAACAGGCCTCTATATTCCATGTAGTCATTGGGAACCCTGGTACCTTTCACCGTGTCTGTGCCACTTGGAGTGCAGACTGCAGATGAGTCTAGTCCGTGAACTGCATGGTAACAGTACCATCCATTGAGTCGTAACATGCGTAAGGTGACATCTCACTGTGGTTTTGTTTTGCATTTTTCTGATGGTTAGTGATGTCGAACTACTGTTTATATATATGTTGGCCATTTGTTTGTCTTCTTTGGAAAGTGCCTATTTAGGATTTTTACCCTTTTTTTTTTTACATTGGATTATTTTGTTTTTCTTCTATTGAGTTACCCAAATTCTTCATATACAGGGTCTGGCAGAAGTAAGGCTTGTTTCAGTGTGGTTGGTAGAGTACGTGAATGTCTCACACGAGATGGACAGCAATTTGACCATTTCACCTAAAATGTCATGTGGCGTGTTTGAGTGTGACATTGTTATGTTACTGAATTACATGCTTATGATTTTGTAATACAAAAGGGTCGTTATTTGTGCCAAACCCTGTATTTTAGATATATGCTTTGCTAACATTTTTTCCTATTATGTATGTTGTCTTTTCAACTTACTGTTTTCTTTGCTGTGCAGAAGCTGTTTGGTTTAATGTAGTCACGTTTGCTTTAATTTTTATTGCTTGTGCTTTGTTGACTAAATCAAGAAACCATCACCTAGACCGATGTCGAGGATCATTTTTTTCTGTGTTTTCTTTTAGAAGTGTTGTGGTTGCAGGTCTTACATTTAAATCTTTGCTCCATTTCAAGTTAATTTATGTGGGCGGTGTAAGGTAGGGCTCCAGTTTCTTTCTTTTGCATGTAGGTATCCTGTTTTCTGTCCTTTCCCTATTGTGTGCTTTTGGTGTCCTTGTCAAAAAGAAGTTAATTAGCTATATATGGGGGTTATGTGTCAGTTCTCTTTTGTTCTACTAATCTATATGCCTATTTTTGTACCATACTGTTTTGTTTGCTATCGTTTTGTAACATAGCTCGAAATGAGGAATTGTGATGCTTCCACCTTTGTTCTTACTCAGTGTAACTTTGGTTATTCGGAGTCTTTTGTGGTTCCAAACAAATTTTATGATGGTTTTTCTATGTATTTTAGAAATGCCATTGGGATTGTGAGTAGGGTTACACTGGATCATATGGACATTTTCATAATACTAATGCGCCCAACCTTGGAACATGAGATATCTTTCTTATTCTATTCTTATGTAAGATGTCATCAGTGAACAGATGATTTTACTTCTTTCTTTCTGATATGGATGCCTTTTATTTCTTTTTCTGCCTAATTGCTCTGGCTAGGACTTCCAGTACTATGATGAGTCAGCCTTACATTTCTGAGATAAATCTCACTCAGTCATGGTGAATGATCCTTTAATGTGTTCTTGAATTTGGTTTGCTAATATTTTGCTGAGAATTGTTGCATCTATACTCATCAAAGATATTGGTCTGTACTTTTCCTTTCTTGTAGTGTCTTTGTCTGACTGGTTTCAGGGCAATGTTGCCTTGTAAAATGAGTTTGGGAGTGTTCCCGCTTCTTTACGTTCTTTGAACACTTTGAGATGTGTTGCTGTTTTTTCTTTGTGTTTGGTACAATTCACCACTGAAACCATCTGCTCCTGGGTTTTTCTGGTATTTTGATGGGTCTACGTCTTGAACCACCTGGGGAGTGAGGCTTGCGGTAGTGGCAGTGCCCCTGGCAATGGTGGGAACTGAGGCCCAGGGGCAGGGTTTGGGGCAGCAAGAGCCATCTCAGCAAAGACAGTTCAGAGTCTTGGCCAAGGGTGGGGCAAGGGGAGGGCTGGGCGGCAGCAGCATAGCCCAGTAGTGGCAGCCCAAGTGTGACTATGGACCCAGGGGGCAGGGCTCCGGAGCAGGGGGGCTGCCCACGTCCTGGTGGGAAAAGCGTGTCCTGGGGCTGAGCTGGGCAAAGAGCAGTGGCATCTCAGATCTCTCGCATGGTAAGGTGCCGTGGCACTGAGCACCCGTGAGTGGGACATAGCATCCGCCAGGGGCCCAAGGGCAGCTCTCTCCTCAGCAACAGATCAAGCATCTGGGAATAGATTCAGAGTGAGTGGGCCTCCAGGCTGCTCATTTGGGGGGATCAGCCTGCTGAAGCCCGGGGAGCCCTCCCCAGCAAGAGCTGCGGCTGTCCTCAGTGGTGAGGCTCCTGCTGGGGACCGTCCTCAGGTCTGCTGGGGGGCAGGGCGACGTGGGCAAAATGCTCTCTTAGCTGTGTGGCCATCCTTGCGGTTTGAGCTCTGCCAGGTTTTTGCTGCTTTTTTGTTGTCTAGAGCTTTTCCGGAGCTATTTTCTTCAGTTTGTCGCTTTTCCTTCTTTTTGTTTTTTAACTGGGTGATGAGCGTTAGGACCTCTTAGCCCTTGATCTTGCTGAAGTCAATTCCTGAGGCGAATGAGGTCCTGGGAGATGAGCAGTTTTGCTCGATAATCTACAAGTTTGAGACTGGAAATTTTATTCTGATTCTTCTCCTGATTTTGCTGAGGAATTAATTATAATCTCATAGGTGAAAAAACAAAGCAATTTTAAACTGAATATGAAATGTTTTTGAACATTTATTTATATCCTGATTCTATTCTCTCAAAATATTTCGGCTACCCAATTCGTAGTAAAATTCTTATTTAATATAAAATATTAACATAGTCTTGCTGAGAAAGTCATCATGGGAAGTTATAGAAGTGACACATTAATTGAGCATGATAGGATTCCAATGAAGTAAATAATTCTTGAACATGCTCTATGAACTAGCAATTGTGCACTTTCAGTATTCAACCCAAAATAATTCACAATTTTCTGTTTTCTATGCATTTCTGATTTTTTTGCATTTTTTAATTTTTCTTCATTATTTCTTTGTAGGCAGAATAACCAGAACATTACAAATAATACTGGAAGTTGTACCAGAAGAAGCTTGTCATAAATTATGAATTAATGCATTTGAAATCTTGGTAATCTATCCTTGGCCGTGTTTCTTCTGCCCAAGGGCTGAAACAAAATATGGACGTTCATTTTATGAAAACCCAGAGGATTGCAACTTGGGTGATGGACTAAAGGAATCAGTTATTTCTATTCATATCTTTAAGCATATTCAAAGTGGTTCCCAAGAAATGTAGTTTTAACTCCATGTAGTTATAGAAAGCTGATATGCAACTGCACCGTGAGTTCCCATGATCCTCGAGTCCCGATACCTGCCTGTTGAGGTAAGGGGAAAAGACTGTGGACTGGCCAATTACTTCAGTGGTCTTTCTCTGTAACATGTCACGGTGAAGAACCTTCAAAAACAAAGACTGGGATGTTTTCTGTATTTATGAGTTTTGTAAAAACAACTTTCACATTGTTGAGATGACCATACTGTGAAAAGTATTTTCTGTTAATCTTGAGAAAGAAAAAAAAAAGCATACATCATTATTATGAACAGAGGAAAGAAAGAAATTTCTTTTATGTGGCATTGCATTGCTTCCCTGCAGCTGCCAACTTTAGGTATCACTCCCCTTTTAAGGGGTGATTCTCAGAGCATTTTGAACAAAGGACAGAGGGGATACGCCTACTTTTTAATGAATACTTTGAAGAAAAGCTTCTAGGAGCTGTTGCTTATGGGACAAATCCAGGAATTATGTTTAAGTAAAAACACTTGAGAATTTATTATGTCAGGATGTTTTTTTCACTTGTCATCGGGAAGCTCTGAGGTTGGGTTACGTGTTATTTCTATAGCAGCCCGTTTGATCAGGAAGGGATGTGAGCCCTCTCTTACAGCAAAGCAACAAGCAGTTTGGTAAGCTCCACCGTCGGTTTGATGAATAATTTACCCTGATAAATGCATCTAAATACGTGCATTTTCAAGTCTTCAAGTTACAATATCAACACAAGACAGAAATCACCAAGAAAGAAAGTACCCAAATGTTATGCCCAACCCTATACTCGGGTGTCTGCAGTGACAGGTATTCTGAACAGTTTTTTTAATTTCATAGTTATTTTTACATGGTGATGGATTTTGACAGGTTGTACATTTCCTTTATACATTCTATATTCTGTTAAAATACCTCTTTGGATAAAACTGTCCAGATCCATTAGGAAAAGACGTATATTTACATAAAAATTGAGGAAGAAATGTCACTGCTCAATAAGATTCACAACCGATGTTTCTAAAAATTTTCCACCTCTCTATCTAGGCTTTGTCATTAATTTCCTCACCATAATTATCATTCTACTCACAGAAGAGATAACTGATAAAAAATTCACTGAAAGAAGTAGAAATTGTGTACGCATGTGTATATCCAGACGGGTGTTACGCTAGGCTCAGAAAATATTGTGCAGTTTTCTACTGAGAGTAGTATCACGATGCAATTTGTTGCCTATTATTTACACACGACTAAAAATAAGTACTTCATCATAACCAGAGTGTGTTTCATCTTTTAATTTTTTTGTCCATTTGAAAATAAGGATTTTAGAAAGAATTACACCGATTAAAATCATCAAGAGAAGATTTAGAGTTTACAGACAGTTGGCCAAAGTAGTAATGATAATTCATAATTTGAAGCAATTCCAAATTTCAATTTTTGTTCTTGATAACATTTACTATAATCTAAGATTGACATCTTTTAGCCAGACCTAGTGTTTGGGTCTTCAAGCAAATTCATAAAAGGTTTTCTTTTTTCTTTTACCAGAAGGTTTCAAAATTCGACCTGTGGTCTCTATCTCCCATGTCTGTTTGTCCATCTGCCTTCCCACCATGTTGTTGCTGGAGGCAAAAAGTAAATTTCCTTCACATTCCTATTTTTTAATCCAAACCAGAAAAGTCCTCTTGAATTATTTTTTGTGTGTGTGTAAGGATTAAAAAAAGTAAAGTCACGTGGAGAGGTTTGTGTGGTGCTGGGTGATTCCTGAGGTTGATGTGCTGATACCCACAGAGGGCTCCGCATTTTATTTATTAGCTTATTTTGGGTACTGGCTTCTCTTTCAATATATCATTGTACAGGCTAAGTAGAATACATATTTATTATTTTTCCCATCATTATCAAAATGATTTTTCATTATTGAAGTTCTAATACTACTGTAATACCATTTAACCAAACAAAATCAGTCAGTAAGTTTTTAAGAAAGTGATGAATATTAAGTTACACTTTATTTTGGGGGTGCATCATGATAAGACGCAGGGTTTCTGTCGTCAGAGAGTCAGTGTTTGTCATTGTTACTCAGGATGGCATCGTGTAGAAATGCCCACCGACTCCGGGCCACACACGCGTGTTAGGCGTGTGCACGCACACGTGTGCTGTCCTACCACCGGATTCCTGCCAACGCTGCTGGTGCAGACTTAGGGCAGGTGGTCAGGGTGCGTGAGAGGTGCGCGCCAGCATATCTGACACTAAAGTAACGATGTCGAAGCAAATTTCCAGACTGTCTTATGTGTCTGGTAAGATATTTTCCGCTATTGCTATTTGACACTAACAGAAGTTTAACGTGAGTATAGTTACATCACTCAACAGAATTCTTTTCCAATGGTTATCAGTCTTCAGGAAACTTTAATTTATCTGTTTTTACATTTATTTGGAGATAAATGGAATGATAACTAAGAAAGGGGACATCTTTGACCTATAGTTGACCTACTTATGATTAGGTAGGTTATGAAAGGATGGAAAGCCAAAGATCAGAGTAGCAGGAAATGAAACTAGTGTGTGTTTGGAGGTAATGATATTTTGGGTGTCATTTGTTACGCAGTGTAGTCGGAGAGATAGTGAAAGTTAATTGCCTGCTGCGCCAGGGTGGCTATCTGAACAAGCTCATGAAACCAAGACTTTGGTGCCTCTCACCTGGGGGCGTGCCCCGTCCAAGGTCTTGGACCTGATTTCGCATTAGGGATTTTGTGTTAGTTTTCGTGAAGAAAGTCAGCAAAATTATATATACTTCTGGCCCTATGTAATCAAATACCACTTTGATTGAAGTAAAACATTTCCATTACTTTTGCTGTTAGAAATAAGCTTGGGGTATATTTGTGTGTGTGTGTGTATATATACACACACATACAGTATATAGACAGTCCAGCACAAATAATACCTCCTTTCTATGAGCTGGTAATTTATATGAAATCTTTTATTAGAGAGTCATAAGTTTGTCATTCTGTAACATAACAATACCACACTCAAGCACTCCCTATGACATTTTAGATGAAATGGTCAAATTGCTGTCCATCTCGTGCGAGACACTCACCTACCCTCCCAACCTCATCAATGGCATTACTTTTGCTGAACTCTGTATTTTTTATTTTTATTGATTTAAGAGGGGGTGAGAGAAAGAGAAAAGGAGGGAGGGAGGGAGAGTGGAGAGAGAGAAAATGGTTTGTCGTCCACTCACTTATGCATTCCTTGGTTGCTTCTTGTATGTACCCCGATCAGGGATCCAACCAGCAGCTACCTTGGTGTATCAGTACGACTCTCTGACCAACTGAGCTACCCAACCAAGGCCAAAATATATTTTTAAATAAAGTTGTGAATTAATTGAATTATTTATATATGTGGCTTTTTAATAATATACATTAAGTAGTATGTAAGGAGAAAGTTTCACCTTTGACATTTTTTTGTTAGTTCTGAGTGATAGAAAAACAATACATAGGATTCTAATTGTAGTTCTTTTTTTAGGTTGGAAAGAAATGTAGAGAGATTTGGGATTTGAGAGCAGATGAAATTTAATTTTACTTAATTGTAATCTTGCTTCATTTTACCCCATGATATGCCGTGTGTTGATGCAGATGATGTTTACAGAGTTACATTTGACTTTTCTGACGGAAGTCAGAATTAAAGCCTGTCATTATTTAACTGCCTACAAACTCCTGGTGGCTATTAACTAGGGTAGAGAATGAGTCATTTTGACTGCTTTTGTTTACATTATTAATGTACAGGTAAAATAATTATTGCCCATAAATGTTTTTAGGATAATTCCTCTTGAATGGCATTTTTAATCTTTCTCAATATAACACCTAAAAGTGTGACCTCTAGGTGGTATTCTTACTGTACTTAAGAGATATTTTAACAGTCACTTTTAAGAAATAACCCTTTCTTCTTTTTGTTGTATTTTTCATAGTGGTTTGTGTGAAAAGAGAAATGCTCAGTCTAGTTTCAGGTTTGATACACATACACAAAGGCATAACACGTGGCCTCCCAGAGAGCGTGCCAGCTTTCCACGTGTGGCGAGGTACTGTTCTCTACATCCTCCAAGGGTATTAACGTGATCTCTTTGAGCCATTTCTCTGACTTTTGGAATGAATCAGTGATGCCCTTGGTACTAATTGTTGGCATTATGTCTTCAAGATAGGAGTGAATTTACACAGTTACCGATATTCTCAGAGCGAAATTACCACTTAGGTTTACCTCCTTGGTAGCCCGCCCCCTGCCCCTCTCTGGTACCAGAGCCTTTAAATATCCTTGGGGGATGGTAATGGTCCCCAGATAGTTGTCTGTTACATGAGTGTTTTTCAGCTGAGTAGACCAAGGACACGTGTAAAACATCAGTAACCGCCTCAATGGTTTTGTAGGTGACCATCCTCTCAAGAAACCGTGGAGCACTAGGCATGTGAGCACCGTACAAAAATAGATGCACTGGTTTGAAAGTGAACATACTCCCCCCCCCCCCTCAACATATACACTACTGATTTTTTTTAAAAGTAAGACTTTCCAGTGATTTAATTTATTGGTTCAAGACTTGCTCGCTGAATCCTTATGACCTCTCATTGCCACCTCTACAGGCCACTCTGAAAGCTAGAGGAAAAATAAAAACTAATGCAGTTATCTCTTTTGCAGCAGTGATTATTTTGAGCACCTTGTGTGACAGGGTATTTTGCATAGTATCTTGTGTAAGTGGGTCTTTGGATGTTACAGCTGTACCGGTTGGGTTGTGAAGTTAGACCTCACTTACTCCTGTCCAGGCTCCAGCGCATGCTCTCTGGCGCATGCTCAGAAGCTCATTCATCTCATAGTGGGAAGCAATGCAGTGTGGTTCCCTGGGTCCAGGTTAGAACTGTCTGATTTCAGAGGATTTCTTAGCTCTTTTTCCCTAGCATTTCTCCTTCATTTCAAATTTCCATTTACGGACCAATGTAATATGAAAAATATTATATTTAAGTAGAAAAATAGTTTGGAGAAATAAAATAGATTGTTTCAAATGAATGTATGCTTATAGAGAATTGGCCTACATCAAACTACTGTGTATATTCATAATTTTAGACACTACCACATAGCACTTTTTAATTGCTCTGGAAGCAAAGAACAATACATTTAGTAATGTTTATCACACAAACCACAAGAATCCTCCCAAAATTTTAAGTAGTCTGGGATTATTTTGATCCTTTCCTTGGAGAAACATTTATAATAACCTAATAGTTTACCTTTGTGAATGTTATTACTACTGCTATGACTCTGGAACTAAAGTATTAATACTTAACATTTTGAAAACTGGGGTCTTCTTTTTACATTACTCATGTTTAGAGAATTGCATATCTCCTTTTGGGCTATTTGGGGCCAATGCCTGTGTTCAAAATGGCTGGTTATTTTGAAGACAGGTATTGCCCCCCCCCCCCATCTCTCTGTCTTCCTAAACTGGTTGCAGCGCACTAGTGATGAGTTTACAGTGGTACCTCCCAACTGTTTTGAGAATTGCAAACATAAACATCCTGTGTGGTAAGAGTGCATTGCTTCGTGCCTTGAAATAGAGTGTCTCTAGGCCAAACCGGGGAACAGACATGTGGCTGTGTTTCCCTGATGTTAAATGCTGGCTCCCTATGGCTTTGTAGTCAGCTCAAGTCAGAGAAAGGCAAGCCATGCGGCCGCCTGGACTGAATGCTGGGAAAACTTAATTTGTCCTAGTTTTCTGATAAAGGTTTGACTCAAGATTTCACAGAGCTAGGTTTTTGCTTATTGTAGAGTGGATTAGGTGGTAGTGGTGCACTGGTAGACATGGTTTTTAGTTACTGACTCAGAATTCATCTCATGATGAATCTTTTATGTTTTTTTATAGTAAGTATATCTGCATTTACTTTATGAAAATGGGTTTAGTGAGCTTTGTGTTAAAAGTTTGACTCGGTCACCATAACTTCTTTTTCAGTTATCAAGGGGTAGAACAATTTGTATGTGTGTTGATATGTTCATATTAACATCTCATTAGGTACTGTAGATGAATGTATTTAAATGCCTTTTATAGTCTGTGTCAAGCATCCATAGTTTGCTCCCATGGAATCATTTCAGCCCAGTGGGAAAGCGGTGGTCGGGTCCCTCGGGGGATTGTGCTGGCAGTTGTCTCTTTGATCTGTGCTTAAATGGTAATTTATGGGCCAGGTATACTTCTTAATGTGGATCTGGAATGCCTCTGTTACGACTCTGTACCATTCCCCTAACTGGGGGGCTTGGGCAGGGAAATGCTGGATTTGGCCTGGTGATCTCAGATATGGCAACGGAGAAGTCCAGCTGAGGAGGAGTGAGCCTCAGTTTCCTGAACGGTCCTCATCTGTGGTGGGTTTCTTCACCTTGGCATTGTGATGGTGAAACATGGTAAAGGGGATCGTGCACATTTTATACAAATTTTACACGTCTTGTATAGGTAAATTCTTAAAAAGCAAAACTCCTTTCCTGCACCTACATCCCAGTCAAATTGGGAATACAAAGATATGTAACAGTGAGAATATAAAGGGTGCAGAGGGACTTTCATTTGTGGATTGTGTTGCATTTCTTAGGGTTCACTGGCATCGATGCCTGTACCAGCATGTGTCGTGTGAAATAAAATGGATTTTTCTGCAGCTTAATGATTTCCTTCTGGGGAGAGTTCTGGTGCAGAAATCACGCTGCCAGATGGTGTTTATGGGCTATTTGTGTAAGTGGTAAGATACTATGAAATAAGTGTGATTTCATCTGGTGGAAACTCTCAATGCATATGTTTTTTGTATGGAATACATTTTGGTGCAATATGATGTCACTCAGTTTTGCATTGAATTTAATTTCATTGTGTTAATGTGTATGTATACTTGTCATGCTTCTAGTTGCTTCAGTTTTGTTTGCATATATATTTTTGTACATATTTTTACTTGAAAATATTTGAAATGGAAATTAAATAAACATTTGATAGTTTACATAATAAAAGTAATGTTCTGGTGTTTTTTTTTTTAAGTGCAGACAATTCCTTTTTCGTTAAGTTGAAGGTGTGGGATCTTACATTGATTCTGTGAATTTGTTGGTGTCTCCCATTTAGCTGCAATTTCCTGTACTAAAAACTTAAAGGGGTGGCAGATTCAGTAAACAATGTGGGAATTCTTCTTCCTCCTGGCCTGTATCCATCTGTCCTCTGGTCCAGAATATTTAGCAACTTCTTCCTTGTTTTCCCTTGTCTTAATTCAGTCTTCTGATTTCTTGCCTCTTGACAGAAGTCTCATGTCTTGTCTCTCTCTGTCTTCACATGTTTCCCAAGAATGTTCTTTCTAAAACAAAAATGCTCTAGTAATCACTAAGGGTTTCACATTTTTTTCCCCAGGGTAGATAAAAACCAAACTGTTCCATCTAACACACAGGGCTTTCCATAATCCATCACCTTTCTTTTTCCAACTACAAATGACCACTTCTATATTTTCTGTGGCCACATTGAGTGTCTCTTTTGGTAGTTTAATAAAGAAAAGGTGCCATTATTTCATTTGACCCACTGCAAGTTCTTACAAGGATTATATTTTCCTCCCTCATTTCCTATCTCCTGCTCCCCACATAGGAAACTCAAACTCACTTGAGACTAAATTCAAGAAAGTTTCCCCAAGCTGGTTCAGAACCTGACTCCTAAACACCTTCATTATCTGGAGCACACCGTTTTATGTATCTGTTGGCCATTAGTATAACTTTCTGAAAAATGTCTTTTCAGGTCCTCTGCCCATTGTCAAGATAAGTTTCTAATGGATTTTTTATTCTATTGCGTTATATGTGTTCTTTATATGTTTTACATATTAACCCCTTGTCAGATATGTGGTTTGTAAATATTTTCTCCTATTCCACAGGTTGCCTTTTCATTTTGTTGATTGTTTCTTTTAATATGCAGAAGCTTTTCAGCTTAATGTTGTTCACTTGTCTATTTTTTCCTTTTGTTGCTTTGGCTTTTAGTGTCCTCTGCAAAATATCATTGCCGAGACCGAGGTCAAGGAGATTTTTCTCCGTTTTCTTCTAGAAGTGATATTGTTTCAAATTTTACATTTACGTCTTTAATCTTTATGAAATTATTTTTGGTGAGTTGTGTAAGATAGGGGTTCAAGTTCATCCTTTGCATATGGATGTCCAGTTTTCCCATCACCACTTACTGAAGACTATTCTTTTCCCCCCCATGAGCATTCTAGATTCCTTTGTCAAGTACTAGTGGACTGTACATTTATTTCTGTGTGCCTTTGTTCCTGGGCACTAGATTCTATCCCACTGATCTGTGCGTCTCAGGCCAGTACCATCCTGCTTGATTGCTAGAGTTTCTAATGCAGCGTGAAATCAGGAAGTGCAATGCCTGCAACCTTGTTCTTCTTTCTCAACAGTGCTTTGGCTCTTTGGGATATTTTATGGTTCCATAAATTTTAGGATTTTTTTCTCTATTTCTGTGAAAAATATGGAAATTTTAATATGTATTGCATTGAATCTATAGATCACTAGGAATTGTATGGATATTTTAATGATGTTAATTCTTCTGATCCATGAACATGAGAAGAATTTCCATTTATTTGTATCTTCTTCAGTTTCTTTTATCATTGTCTTATAGTTTGAAGTGTGTAGATCTTTCACCTCATTTAAATTTATTCCTAAGTCCTTCATTGTTTTTGATGCTACTGTGAATAGGTTGTTTTCTTGATTTCTTTTTTCAGATAGTTTGTTGTTAGTGTCCAGAAACACAATAGATTTTTGTATGTTGATTGTGTATTTTGCAACTTTACTGAATTCATTTAATAGATCTAGTAGTTTTTTAGTAGAGTATTTAGAGTTTACTAAATATATGGTCATGTCACCTGCAAACAAAGATAATTTTGCTTCTTTCCTGATTTGGATTCCTTTTAATTCTCTTTCTTGCCTAATTGCTCTGGCTAATATTTCTAGCCCTGTGTTGAATAGGAGTGGTGAGAGTGGGCATCCTTGATTATTCCTGATCTTAGAGGAAAAGCTGTCAAACATCTTTATTATGTTGAGGTATATCCCTTTTATACCCAATTTTGAGTGTTTATAATCTGTTATAAAAGGATGTTCTATTTTGTCAGATGCTTTCTCTGCACCTGTTGATAAGATCACATGATTTTTTATGATTCACTCTATTAATGTACTCTATCATAATCATTGATTTGCATATATTGTCCCATCTTCGCATCCCAGGAATAAGTCCCACTTAGTTGTTGTGTTTAATGCTTTGAATATGCTGCTGAATTTGAGTTGCTAGTGTTTTGTTGAGAATTTATGAATCTAGGTTTACCAGGCCGAGCTCCCCAGCCAGATGGTATCACTGGCTGGACTTGGTTCAGTCTGGGCAGGCAGCTGGCTGGGCTGCACTCTTGGGCCAGTTCTCTGGCCGTCATCCTGGTGGGGTGGAGCTGCCCACTGCACTCTGCACTTGGGTGTGGCTGGAGGCTGTGCTGCACAGTTAGGTGGCTTTGCTGTCCACGCTCCCTGGATGGGTGGGGCCACAGGCTATGCTCCGTGACTGGGCAAGTTGGCTAGCAGGGCTCTCTGCCTGAGGCCACTTGCTATGCTCAGCAGTTGAGAACTACAGTAGGCTTGGGCTCCAAGAGTGCCTGAGGTTGCTTTTTGGGCTGCCGTGCAGACGGGTGGATATTATGCTCCACAGCTGGGCAGGGCTGTGGGATGGGCTCCACAGATGCTCAAGTCCTCTGGCCAGGCTCGCTGATCAGGCGGGGATGGAGGCCGTGTCCAGCAGTTGAGTGGAGCTGCCAACTTGGTTCGCTATCAATCTGGGTGGGGTCGTCGAGTGGGGTTTGTCACTGGGACCCACTGGGACCCAAAGTGAGCAGAACTGCTGACCAAGCTCCCTGGTCAGACAGGGCCACTGATTTGGGTCTGCAGTTGGGCAGAGCTGTTGTCTGGATCTGGGGTCAGGCCACATTGCCAACAGGAGCACCGTCTGCCGAGACCTACACCCCTGTTACTCTGAGGGTTACCCCTGTTACCCTCCCTGCCACCGACTCCCCTAGGGACCCCCATGAGGCAGTACCTAAGTGTGTTTCCTGGGGAGCTTCCTGGAATATGGGGAAGCTGCGTGTCTACCTGTGGCTCTCCTCTATCCACTGGAGAAACTGTAGCGGGGGAGCCCCTGGCATTTCTCTGCCTGAAGGATAGGGAGATGAGGTCAAAGTGGAACCTTTCCTTTACCCTGTGAATGCAGTTTTTCTTGAGTTCTGGATTCCAAGGTGGGTGCTTTAGCCTCACCCCCAGGTTCTCGGGTCTTCACAGAAATGTCTTGCCTCTGAGTCGTTGCCTGTTGCTCTTTCTCGGAGGGAAACTGAAGTCAGGAACCATAGGTTTTGCCATGTTGCTCTGATACAGTTCTTACACCCAGGTTTCCTTTACCTGATGCTCCATCACCAGGTGTTTCTCTGTGCACTTTTAGTGACATATTGATTTCCTTAAAAGAATAATTTGATATCATCCAGGTGTGCCTAATGATAAGAAAAGGTTAATGTGGAAAGTCTATGATTATTAGTTAAACACTTTCTCAAATTAAAGCTCTCAGGTTTCAGCGAGAGAATATTGAATCAAAGGACTGAAAGGGCAGAAGAAATTGAACAATGGTTCAATTTTGTAATAGATGTTATTTATCATTTTTATTAAACTTTGTATTAGCCACGTGCTTTGCACTGACTCAGATACTTCTCACCATTGTCTGTGAATAAGACAGATGACAAGTCTCGCTTCCATTTTTAGATTAAGAGAATGAGCCCAAAATAGCTAAGGTGGCTTGCTTAGAGTAACAGAGAAAGTCAAAGAGGTCAGGTTAGAAATTCTGGTGATCAAATCACTCCTAAATTTCAGACTATTTAGTTTAACCATCTCTTAGGTGAAGACAATTCCTTTTTTATTTACAAGTCAATCAGTCATTAAATATTTACTTTGTCTCTACGGCACAATTAACACTGGATGCTATGGTATAGGAAGCACGCCCTGATTCCTCAGCTCCAGGAAATCACAGGGAAACAAAGAAGAATAATAAGCCACAGGACACACCAATTAATACAGGGTGTGCTTAGCTGGGAAACGGTGTGGCGCAACTGGAAATGCATGAAACGATGAAAGCACTGGGCTTCGCACTAGACCTTAAGCATTTGGAGGAGATGATTGGGAGGGTAGAAGGTGATGCTGGATGTGTGTGAGGTTTACAATTTGAGAAAAGGCGTGTATGCAAAGCAGACCATGATTTCGGTTCATAAGAGTTAAGTGTGAGGAGAGCCAAGGATAACAAATAGAGAAATATTGACTGTATCATGTCTGCTTATGGCATGGCCTTTAAATCCAGAGAATGAGTTTGATCTGGAGTCAGGAGCCCCTGGAAACCTGTTTGAAGGAAATACTGTCCATGGTCAAAGCTGCAACTGAGGGAGTTATGTCAGCTCTGCTAGAGAGGAACAACTGATGAGGGGAAACTTGGGGTCAGCCAAATCTAGCTGCGGAGCTTACAGGACAAGTAGATGTGAAGTCTAGACTAGGAGTAGAGCTACAAGAGCAAATGAATGAGAAATTCTGGCGAAAACTCCAACGGCTCCTTGTGCCGAACGTACTGCAGAGGAAGAGGAGGCAAAGGCGAATGAGCTGCTGAATGAAGGAGCATGTGACTGAGACAGGCGCATTTGGTGGTGAGCTTCTGATACTCTTTTATGAGGAGGTTGAAGCACCTTTTCATGGATGAAGTCTCGAGTCCAAGGGTGTGAAAAATTCCACCCGGATACATCCCCAGAGCATTAGATCTCAGGCGAGAGCTCAGATGAGGGCCGAGGATTCGAGACACGTGTCAATACTATTCTTGGG